GGGTTAGAAGTTCTATGCACCGTGTTGACACAGCTGGTGTTGTGTCAAGGATGTTTTCCTTGGGATGCATTGCTCGACGTGCTTATTCCGTCCCAGGACCACAGTCTCTAATGCATATTGACACAAATCACAAACTGATACGGTAAATTATTTGATCTTTTGAAGTGAAAGATATTCCTGAGAATTTTTTCATCTGCAAATGTTCATAACTGTATTTTGTTATCTTACTCGTTACTATATTTGCATCTGGACATACATAAATTACATCTTGCATTGCTTACATTTAAACACTTCAAAGTGATAATTCCAAAATTGATAAAAATAATTTTTGTTTTCCCCATTCAGCTATAACATTGTGATCTTTGGAGGTATTGATGGCTTTTCTCGTAAGGTAAGTTTAGTTTAGTAAGTAAATCAAATGTAATATTTACATGGAAGTTTCCCATTGTTCTTTTTCCTATAAAGATTATGTATCTCGGTGCTGCTTCCAACAATCTGGCATCGACAACACTGGCATTCTTCCAAAAATCAATCGAGAAGTTTGGTTTTCCTCTCAGGTAATAAGTGATGCATTTTATTATGGGTTAGGTATTATCTTACATACCTTTTGTAAGACTACATTTGGATATTTCATTAAGTTGTTTAAGATGATTCTAACTTGCCTCAATATATATATCTCTAATTTCAAATGATTGTTCTGGTGACTTGGGGATATTTAAGAATAAAAAAAAATTAATTCAACACCTTTACCAAACACTGCTGTTATGTAATTGGATACAAGGGGTGAGATAGTAATATTTTTCCTCCTTGGCTGTAACTCCCTGACATTACAAGGGTAATCATTTTATGATGTGGGGTTCAGTGTTACACCATGATTTCAAATTCAATATCATCATCAATAAGAATTTGTATTATCATTTCAGAATTGTAGGTAACCACTTTTAAATGCCATAGACTACTTATTTGTTTAATTTGATGTAAATATTTTTGCAAAAATATTCTAAAAATTGTCTCCTTACACAGATCATAATGATACAAGATGGCATTTGCGTAATTTCCAACAAATACAATAAATCTAAGTAATTACTACTAACCTGTGAAATCCTGAAAAATGTTTTAACAGCTGTTTTAAATTACACTTCATACTGAAACATGCTGGAAAGTTCATTCATGAGACAATTTTTCTGATGCATTCAAGAGCAGTAGCAATGAAAGATTTTAAGGATTCTTTTACAATTTGTTTTTCAAACTTTGCTTAAGGCATATACTGTTCTTTATTATCAGATCTAAGTTTTTTTAAAGCTTCGAATGTTTTGGGGTACGATTCTTTGTTTTCAGGGTTCGTGGCGACCACGGAGGGGAAAATGTGGAGGTTGCACGGCTGATGTTTACTGTTCGTGGCACAGGAAGAGGCAGTTTCATTTCAGGAAAGAGTGTGCACAATCAAAGGTTTGTTCTCATAAAATACTGTCCACCTCAAATGTTTCTGACATAAGATGGAAGGTGTTGCATCTTTATTTCCATTAATTAAAAATACATACATTTAAAGGGTATAGTTTTATGAAAGTTGTACAGTAAAATGTCTTTAGAAAACAGTGCCCTATCCAGCATGATACACTTTCTGATATGTATCAGGTGTTCCTTTTTTTTTTTTGGCAGTTTTTGTTGTTTTTTCTTTCAATTTCCATTACTTACCCCTCAAAGAAGAAAATATTGGACAGGTCCTACAAACCCCAAAGAGCCTTCAGGAATGTGCCCTATTTTTTTAGTTATTCACGCACCTTTTCCAGTCTGTTCCTTCCTTCCATGAATGTTCATTCTGTGTTAATGGTCTGGTTGTCATCTCATGTTGCCACTGATCATTACAACCCTTTTGGCACCTTTTAAGTGATATGCCTGGGTCCTTCCTACATGCCCTGGTAATGTATTATTACTGTTGTCATGCACACATTTCATGTAGGGTTAGAAGCAAGCAGGGAATTTCTCATACACACCAAAAAAAGCCATACCTAATTAAATATTTTTTATATATTATTTCAGAATAGAGCGACTGTGGAGAGACCTCTGGGTGGCCGTTACATGCATTTACTACGATGTTCTTCACAACCTTGAGGAAGAGGGCCTTCTTGACATTTCAAATGTTGCACACCTCTTTTGCTGCCATTACGTCTTTCTTCCTCGACTGGAGGATGATTTGAATACATTTTGCAGTGGATGGGACAACCATCCACTGCGAACAGAAAACAACATGAGTCCCAACCAGCTGTGGGAGTTGGGTCACAGATATCACCCTGTTCCTGTTCCAGAAAACACACAGGTAAAGGTGCACATTTTTAG